CCTTTCTTTTTCAGAGAAGAGGTTTCAGATCAAGATATAAATGTGGAAAACATCAGTACAAAAATATGGAATTTAAGTCATAGAGTGGATGAGATAATTTAAGGTAGTATAGAGAAGGCAGAGAGCTCAAGGACTAACATTGAGAACTCCACAATTTAGATACTGATGAGAGAGGGAGATTGATAAACAGTTGGCAGGAGGAAAACCAAGAGTATGTTGTGCTGGCAGCTAATGAAGAAACAGTTTATAGGAAGAAGGAGTGCCAGATGCTCCTTGTGATGATGAATAAGGTGAAGACTGTTTACTCATCAGGCTTGGCAACATGGAAGACTTAGGATACTTTTCAAGACCAGTTTTGGTGGAGTTGTGGGCAGGTACTGATTGGAAATGCGTGAGTGAGTGGGAGTTTGTAAGGAAGGGGGATAATGAGTGTAGATTCTTGAGAACCCCTGTATGTCCATGAAGGGGATAGGGACATGGAAGGGAATATAGGGCTAAGAAAAGCACTGGATTTTGACTTTTTTTTTTTTTAAGATAGGATAGGATGTTAAGTTGAACCATAAGAAATTGGTGACAGCCCTAACCGGTTTGGCTCATTGGATAGAGCATCAGCCTGTGGACTCAAGGGTCCCAGGTTTGATTCTGGTCAAGGGCATGTACCTTGGTTGCGGGCACATCCCCAGTAGGGAGTGTGCAGGAGGCAGCTGATCAATGTTTCTCTCTCATCGATGTTTCTAACTCTCTACCCCTCTCCCTTCCTCTCCGTAAAAAACCCCCCAAAAACCAATAAAATATATTAAAAAAAGAAATTGGTGACATATGACTACTTTTGACTTATGAGAATGTCAGTTTCCTATAGTTTGACCTAATAAAACATGTTATATTATTGAGAATGACTTGCTTTTAGAAGGGGACTTTGATGAAGCAGTGTTGAGAGTTTAACCACAAAATACAGCCTTTGAGCAACTGAGAGAGATGGGGTTGGAGCTCACCAGCAGTGTTGGCCTTTGAAGTAGGGAGAGGAGAAGGCACATGTTTTTTTTCATTGTAACAGGAAGGAAGAAGAAGGTGTGCAGATTCAGCATGCCTCAGTGATCACAGTGATGCCAATTCCAGCAACTCATGTCTTACCCAGGGGCAAATAATTACATAAGACTTTTTTCAGATAATTTATAGACACACATTGATTGATTTTGTTCAGAGGGCTGAGTGGTTACTGATTCTATTTTGCCTTGTAGTAGACTCTAAATTTTCTCTCTCAAAAGTCTTTGATATCAATGATTTTTTTTTGCTCAGTTTTTCTCTCACCAAAAGCAGAAAAAAATCAAATACCATGATCTCCTTCCCCACTCCTCAGCAGTGCAACACCATGGCCTCCCTAGAGAACTGATTAGCAAATCAAAAAATAAAGTGGTTTTCTCATAAGTAATTTTTTTTGTACTATAGGAACTTGTCTTTTTTAATATCACCATTGGTACTCTTTGACTTGTCATCAAATGAAACATTACCTATCATTTCTATTATTTTAATGTAGACTATGAGCATATCCTTTTAAGGTCATACTACTCTTCTCTGTCTTATACAGAATTTGCTTATGAAGTATATGTATCTCAAAAATTTCAGCTATTTGGAGGGAGACTTTACTTCCCTGCATAATATAGTTTAAAAAATAATTTCCATTAAACCACTATGTTGACATATCTCTAGGCCACAGTTTTCTCCATGAACTTCATTCAGTATAGTATTCCAGGTATTAATCATTGATTGTATCTTTAAAGCAACAATGATATTGAAATCATCTTTAGTGCTTGCAGGACCCTTTTTCATGAAACATCCATCTCCTATAATGTTTGTTTGGAATAATATTCTCTTCCATGGGTTATGGGACCAGGAAGGAGCCCTCTTCTTTCTCGATGTGTGTTTGTTGAGCTATAGGCAGCTTTGCTGTGTGCATGGCTTCAGAATTACCTTTTGCTGAAAGTACAGGAAGATCTGGAGAAAGTCAGTGCTCATATATTCTTTTATACACTATTAAGTGTCTGATAAAACATGTGGCATCTTTCAAAGCTCTAGGATGGTGGTATTTATTTATTTATTTATTTTTAGCCTTTCCAGCACAACTTTTAATTTTCATTGGAATCAATGTCTTTTTCCCTTTAACATTTTAAAAAATTTATTTTGAATTATAGGTGACATAATATTATATTAGTTTCAGGTATACAGCATAGTGATTTAACATTTATAAACCTTACAAAGTGATCACCATAAGTCTAGTAACTATCTGTCATCATACATACTTATAACAATATTATTGGGGTGATATTTTAGACTAAGCTAAGGCTTTATTTTATGGAAATGTGTAGCTTTACTACAGGCAGAATAAGTCAATGTGTTCTAATTCTGCTTGCAATCAGAATTACTTGATTTACTGTTGTTACCTGCTGTGGTAGAAATTGCAAGCATCACTGAAGTAGACTTGCATTTTCAGCATTGGAAATATTCAATAGAATTCATCAGGAGTGATTTCAAAAAGCTGTGGCGGTGTGATAAATGAGTGAAGAAAAGTTTTCCCCTTATTTCAGATAGCCTTTGATAGTATGTCTGTTTTAGAAAATAGGTACAGATTAGTCAGCTGTGTACCTGGCTCTCAAATATTTTTAGCTTCTTTTGAGTGAACTTTGGGTTATGCCAAGAGTCTTCTATGGCCTTTCTTCTGAGAAACGCTCAACCAACATCAATGTGTGCTTATAAAAAAGGGCTTGTAGTATATATAACACTACTCAACAGCTTTGCTGACCTGGAGTCTACATGATTCAACTAGTTTTTCTTTGAACCCTGAACTAGTGTTGTACTGATCATCAGGTTTCCTTTGCTTTGCCATTTCTAGTCATGAACTGATCTATATTCTCTGTCTTTTCGCTAGGGGCTTATCTTTCAGGATGAGTTCTGTGCTAAAATGTCGCACTTCCTGCTTCTATATACGCTGATGAACAGGCTTCAGAGTTCTATCTTGTGGAGACATGCCACCCCACCTAGAGATGACAGATATCTTAAAGGACTGCAGTTTTGATGTGTGTAGGGCTATTTCTGTCTCTATTAAGTAGAGAGGCTTATGAGAGCATCTTTGAAGTCTGAGGAGGTACATGTCTGTCTTGTGCTCCTTGTTTCTCGTACATCAGGGCTTTGAGTATTCATCTCCAGTGTTATCTCTCTCACCTACCTCCCAAGGTAATTTGCTGCTGATTTGCTTCTAATTTTGGCTACTTTTTTTTCTTATTCTAAAATGTCTTCTCTTGTCCCTTCAGACTTATGTCAGTTTTCACAGTTTGCTAAAATGGCCTTCTTTTGGTAGACAGCAGTCTGTTGACTTCTCCTCTCCCTTGTTGAGCTGACCAGTAACATGGGATTAAAAACCTTGTTTCTTTCAGCCTCCCCATTACAAAAACAACTGTTCATAACAGACAAAAGAGGAAGCCTAGCTGGTGTGGCTCAGTTGATTGAGCATCATCCTATGTCCTGAGAGTTCGCCAGTTCTATTCCCTGCCAGGGCACATGCCTGGGTTATGGGCTCAGTTCCCAGTAGGAGGTGTGCAGGGGGAAGGCAATTGATGTTTCTCTCTTTCCCTTCCCTTACTTTCTTTCTAAAATAAAAAACATTTTTTTAAAAGAATATAAATGCTCATAACCAGTTTTTACCATCTCAATTATGTATTATTTTTCAAAAGGGGATCATCATGTCATATATACTATTTTATTCATACATACTATTTAAAAACTGCCTTTTCTCCACTGTATCTCCTGAAAGTACCTTCTCATATATTTTTATTTAAAAAATTATATCCCTAACTTTTCAGTCCCTGAAAACTGTTCTGTGATATTAGATATTGACCAGTCCTTCATTTTTGGACATTTAGTGTTTTAGCTTCTTTTCTCTTTTCCCTTCCTCCTTTCTGTCTTTCTGTTACTTACTGGTGATAGAATTTTTTGTTTCTGAGTATCTAGAGTTTTTTGTTCACTATGCATATAGTTATTTTATTAAATTCTAATGTGGACTTTTGGGGGAAAAGGGTAGGCCATTTCTATTACAATGTCATCTTGTGTGTGTGTTTAGATAGGGACTCATATCTTATGCATTCCTGCCTTCCCAGCATGTAGCATTATACCTGGCATAGTGGGTGTTCACTAAAAAATTATAGTTGCTTTCCAGAAATAGGAAGGCCATTTGGCAAATTTATAACTATCTACTCTGTATTTGGAACCCTTGGAATAGGAGTGAGCAAGACAGAGACTGTCCTTGCTCTCATAAGCTAAGGTGTTATTCTATATAGCAAGGTTTATGTTATAGAGAGAGCAAGCCTCTATAATTAATGTGAGGATCAATTAAAAACCTAAAGTCACACAATGTAGTATAACCGGTCTAAATGACTTAATAATGTGTGGTTACTTGGGGGGAGGGGGGGGCAATTCATGTCAGTTTTTTTTCAAGCTTATGGCTAATTAACAGTTGACTAACTGATTTTTCTGTAGATCACAGTTCTTATTTAGGATTGTCCACTAGTGTTACTGATTGAGATGAAATGATTGTTTTCAGGTTTAAAGGTCACTTTTTGACTTTTGGGAATAACTAGAATCTTTTACAGTTAAATTTAAAGTTTTATACCTGAATATAATATGTTATTGTACTTAGTGATTTTAGAGACCAAAATATATTTTAGGGCTGGGTGTGGGGGTAATAGGAAATATATCCCCCAATATTTTTTGTACTTCTGTTGCTCTTTTTAAAATATGATTAAACAAAGATTGCAGCCATGGAGAAGATTTTCTGCTGTAAATCTGTATTTCAACCATTCAGCGATTAATGCTTTCTGTGACCCCACTTATAAAAGTGGAAAGTGAAGCGTGAGTGGCTGACCTCTTGAGTAGGCACATAATTTTTAAAAAAATATGGGTGTCTCAGAGCTATGTTAGAGTTTCATATAGCTGCCTCTTTTTTATTGTAGGGCCAGCTCTCAATGTTGCAAGAAAAAATAGACCATTTGGAGCATTTGCTAGCTGAGAATAATGAGATCATCTCAAATATTAGAGATTCGGTCATCAATTTGAGTGAGTCTGTGGAGGATGGGCCAAAAAGTTCACAAGGCAATTTCAGCCAACGTGCTGGCTCACCTTTTCTGCCATCGAAAAAATTGTCCCTCACAGTTGACCCTGAAGACTGTCTATTTGCTTCACAAAGCGGAAGTCAGAATGCAGATGTGCAGGTAATGTATACATTAGTTAATAATCACTGGGTTTTGTTTTTTTTAGATTTGATCTGGTATCTGTTCTTACTTAGTAAGTTACTTAAATTCTCTGGATTCTAGTTTCTGTGATTTGATTAATTATAAGATCATTAATATTCTTTTTTAGTGATAAAATTCCGTAATTCTGTGCTTCTGATTTTTTATTTTATTTTATACTTTGTGAATATGGCCATTTTGTATACTTCTTCAGTCTTGTTTTTTTGTAACAGTTGGAGACCTTTAGAGTTTTAAATTTGGCCAAAGAGATTTTCTTACCTTCTTTTGGAGAGTACAAGAAGAGCCCTCCTCTTACTATGTCACTGTTATACATTATAGGTTTCGCAGAGTGTAGGGTTAGATTATTTTTGCTGAATATGCCTTTATGAGAAGGAAGAGAAATATTCTAGAGTTGTACTGTCCATTATGGCAGCCACATGTGGCTACTGAATTTGAAATGTGGCTAGTTTGAATTGAAACGTGCTTGAAATATAATTTACACACAAAGTGTTGAAGATTTAGTATGAAAAAAAGAATCTATAAAGTATCTTGTTCATTTTTATATTGATTACATATTGAGATAGTATTTTGAATATAATGGCCTAAAATAAAATGTCATTAAAATTAATTTTGCCTATCCCATTATACTACAAAATTTAAAATTACATATTTGGCTTGCATTATTCTCTTTGATCACCCTGTTCTAGAGGATAGTGGAGTTGAAGACTAGGAAAGAAAGAACTTTTGCCTTTCTTAAGCTTCAGGTGTGTCACTCATATTTTTTAGTTCTGCAAAATAGCAGAGAGCTATAGACTTAACCTTATACCTTAGACCAGAAATTGGAACTTGGTGACAGGACCCTGTGGGGTGAATATTTTAAACTTGGATAAAATGAGTTGGCTGTGTCCTGGCTTCTAAGTAGGAATTTTTATTAACTCCTGGGGACAGAGAACATGGTATGACTTTGAGGACATGGCTCACAGGCCAAGCTGAAAACTGGGAACAGTGGAGCTGGCCAGGTCTTACGCCTGCAACCTCATCAGCTAGTGTGTGGCCAGGTTCAGATAGGATTAGGATCCTATCCTGTGATTTGAAGGGATATCTATTTCTGTGAGGCTTGGCTTTTTCAGGTTTTAATTCACTCCTTTTAAAGAGGAACAAAAAAAATTTTTTTGGTAGGGGTGGGTTTAAATTTGGGATGGACAGAAAGAAGGTAGGAGAAACCATGGAATGCAGGCAGAGGGAGGCAGCAGGACTGGGAGTTCTGCAGACTAAAGAAAGAACTGGGAGAAATAGCAGAGACTGCTAACACATCCTCCCTTGGCCAGCTGGTTCCCAAAGATTTGTTGACTTATCCTTAGAGCATTATATTTTACTTTATTAAAGTCATAAATTCTGAAGTGAGAAATATATTATTGCCTTAAAATACTTTGTATTCACTTTTATGTAGTTTGCTTGATATCTTTACAAAGTTTTCTAACTCATTTATGTATTAACTAGTGGCCTGGTGCACGAATTCATGCACATTGAAAGGAAATTAATTAGAAGAAATATTTTAATATTGCTATTCGCCCTTTCTCTATAATAGAAGTATCAACCAAATTCGTGATCGATAATGACAGATCGAAACACACATGTGCAATTGGCACCAGCGAGAGCTTTATATATGTCCTAATATATTTATTTATATGTATTTATATATATCCAAAATATCAGACATATTGGTCAGAGGTAAGGCAAGGGTGAAATTTTACCAAAGGGTGTTTCTGTTGTCATATTTAATATTATAGAGAGTATGGAGAATAAAAATTTTTAGGGTTTTTATTTTGAGGGAGAGGGCAATAAATATTTTTCCCTTGTGTTCAAAATATATTATTATGTAGAAGGAATACTGCTTTGGAAACTTAGAAAGCGTTTGAACACTTAAAAGCTAATCTCAATTTAAAAATATTCTTCCATTTTTAACCTAGTCAATCTTGTTGTAGTTTTATTTTTAGAATAAAAAAGGTAAACATAACATATGCTAAATGAAAGAATAGAAATAGATGCATTTTCATTAAGATACAGATTTTAAAATATAAGAGATTGAGTATAAAATAATGACAACTTGAAGTAAAAGTAATTTTCAGTAAATTGTTTTTTAATCTGGTCATAATTAATTTTTTTGGTTTGCTGTTTAGTTACTACCTATTCCTATTAAATTGTATTGGAAATAAAGCAGGGGAAGAGGAATTGAATGGAATTATTTTTTTTATTAGAAGCAGATGGGGAAGGGGGTTACTAATCAGGATAGTTATGTAATCCAGGTAGCATTTTAAGCCTTTGAATGGTGATTAAATGTTTTCTGCCTTGAACCCTTCATGTCTACAGAAATAGCTTTATCTTGTAAAATATATACTTAAAGTACAACAATAAGTAGTTTTGAACAAATATTTTTCAGCATTAAGTTTAAATTAATAATGGTTATATATAATTAAACCTTTTATTTGTCTTTTATATTTTTAGATGTTGGATGTTTACAGTTTAATTCCTTTTGACAATCCAGATGGTGGAGTTTGGAAACAAGGATTTGACATTACCTATAAACTTAATGACTGGGACACTAAGCCCCTTCAAGTCTTTGTGGTGCCTCATTCCCATAATGATCCAGGTAAAATTTGCACTTCAAAAAAACTGGAGGTTATTAAACCCACTGTAGGCACAGACTAGTTTAATGAGAATCTGGTGGCACCCACTTCTCAAATTTTTGAGAAATGTTCCCTGACTTTAAACAGTATCATATTCCTTTTATGTCATTGTATTTTTGAGTTCTTACTTGATTAATTTATGTACCATTTAAAGATAAAAGTTGTGCAGTATGAAATAGTAATAACACAAAGAAGGTTTTAGCCCTGGAGGACAAAAGTTGCACACATTTAAGGCACTGATCATTCATTTTAGTTACTTAGTGTAACATACTACATGGGAGAATTATTTCGTGCCCATAAATTCTACATTTAAAAAGTCAGAATGCACATGGGAAAGCTTGAGTCTTTAAAATGGAGAAGTAGTACAAAATGATTAAGAGACAGACATGGGTGAGTCCCAACCTCATCATGTCCAAAGTGTTAGATCTTCAGGTAAATTACTTAATCTAAGAGTAAGTTTTTTGCAGGTAGAATCAGGATAAAGTACTTCATAGGAAGTCTAAAGGCATGGTACACGGTCCAAAATTAACTGCTATCATTATCATTATTGTAATTGTTCCATATGATGACTTTTGTTTTTTATTGGGGCCAGATATTTTTCCTCCCAAGGTAAGTGGAAATCCTAAAATTATAATGGGAAATATGATTTTGTGTGTATACTTGTTAGTGTGAATACACAGGCACAGAGTAAATGCCCAATGAATGTATTTGTAGATTTTTTTTTTTTGGAATGTATTTCCAAAGACTTCTTTTTTGGAAGGACTTATTGATACTTCTGCACTGAGTTGCCAGATTATTATGACCACCTGACGTATGTAGGCAAATTAGCCGTACATAGCATTGTATGGGATATGGAAGCCGAAGGCCTGTTCGAACACATTTGCTGTCTGCAGTTACCAAGATAAAACATCTCCAATTCGCACAGGAACACAAGGATTGGATAGTCGAGCATTGGAAAAAAGTCATGTGGTCCGATGAATCACGTTTCCAGTTGCATCATGCAGATGGCAGAGTGAGAATTTGGCGGAAACAGCATGAAAGCATGCACCCCACATGCATGAGTGATCATTTCTTAAGGTCTGCAGGAGCTATGGGGTCTTTTCTGGTGTTTTTTTTTGTCTGGTCTCATGAGCAAGTTGCCAGGAGGTTGTTCCAACTCAGGGCTCAGGAACTGAAACATAACTTAGGTCAAGATGTTGTCTTTAGTCTGCCAGAGATCCAGACCATGTGACTATTAGTCAGGTCCAGGCTTCTGCTGCCTCAGAGGTTGCTGATTATTGGGGAGGAAAGGCTATATCTGGGAGGTAGCAAGAGAGAGATAGAAGGAGAGGGAGAGAATTTCTGGAGCTAAGTTTTAAAACTTAATTTAATAAAAGTCATAAGGACCCTTGGCTGTTTTTTTATTTGTTTGTTTTGTTTTCTATATTAGACACACTCAGCGAGGTGAGGTGTTTAAACTTCACATATGGGATCTGAGACTGCCTGTAGACTATAGATATTTTTTTCTATAAACCTCATTCACTCTGAAATATTCTCTTGGTGAGTCAAATAGCAACAGAGACACTTGTAGTAAATGGATTGTTCTCTCATCTATTCTCTGTTGATCATGTGTAGTTTAATTCTTGCCACTTAATTGAGTGTGTGATGTGATTCCATTGTCTATTTTCTGTAGGTTTATACATATAATTTGCAGTGTACCTTGTAGGTCCTCATGTGAACCCAGCTTTCTTCCCTTTTTTATTTTTTAAAGACCTTTATTATCCTTTCCCCCTTTCTGCTATCTTCAATTTCCATAAATCTCATTCTTGTTATCTACAACATGGGCACTTAACTATAATAATAAAATTAGCAGTTTACTAGGCACTATGCCAAATGTTTTATAAACATCTGATGCCCCCAATAACCCTGGAAGGTTGGTGCCACTATTCATGATGAGGGGTTACCAACCTGCCAAGCTTACATAGGTAGTGGCAATATTTTCCTGTTAGTTTATCTGGATCTCCCATGTGAGTATACTAGAATGGCAGAATACTAGTATGTGTCTTCTATCATAGTCTATCCTCATTGCCAGCCTACACTTGGCATGTCGTAATTGCTACGTATATGTGAGGCCTTTTTTGATCTACCTCCATGCCCCTGAACAGCTTTCTCACATTGTACACACACACACACACACACACACACACACACACACACACACGCACACGTTTCCACATAGGCACACGTAAATATTTATAGCAATTTTTTCTGGGTCTCCTCACTAGAATGTAAGTTCAATGAGGACTCAGACTTTGTCTTATTAACCACTGGGTGGCTGATGCCTAGAACAGTAACCAGCACACAGTACAGCTCATTTAGTTAAATAAGATAATGAATTAAGGAATCTGACTCTGCAGATTCAGATGAAGTATTTAACCTTGGCTCACGATTTTAACTCCCTTTTCTTCACATTGTCTACTTATTTCTATCTAAAAAATATCTTATTTAGAATAAACGTTGTAATTTTAAATACTAGAAACAGATTATATCAACTTCATCAAGGGCAGGGATTCCTCTGCCTTCTAGACTTTGTTTGTTTAATTTGCACTGTAGTTAGTATGTTGTTTTGTGAGAAGACATCCTTAATAACTGTTCCTGACTGCAATAAAAGGTATCCTCTAATCACAATTGAATCTTTTTGTCTTAGTAAATGATGTTACTGACTCTTACCCTCAGGCCCTTCTCTACCTGAGGGAAAAATAATGGTGAGAAACAGACCTTGAAATCTATATAATGTTATTAATCAATGTCACCCCCAAAAAATTTAGAATAAGACAGGGAGGGTGAGGGCATGTGCTGGGGGTTGGGGGTGGGTGGGAAGAGGTCAAGGGGGGGAGGGGGAAAGGAGATTTTAAACAATAAAGTAAGATTTTAAACAAGTAAGATTTTAAACAATAAAGAATTTAAATTTAAAAAATAAATTTAATTTAAAAAATTTTAGAATAAAATACCTCTATAACAAAAACAAAAATAGTAAAGTGATTTTTGCTACCAAGCAAAATTCTAGAGGAAAGAATTGCTGACTTTTCTTAATAATTTTCACCGCTTCTTAACAAATGTAGAATTTAGATAAACTAAATTATGAATCATTCAGATCATGAAAAACCACTTTTTTCTGTGGAGGACAGAAGATAAGTGTACTTGCATCACAAGTCAAATGTGACTGTGTAATGGGGAAGTCTTTGGGAAATACTCCTAAATCGAAGTGCAGTTAGGCATCTTACTTCCTAAATGAGATTTATAGAGATTTATTTTTATTTTTTGCAGCAACAGTTTAAAACAAACTAGCTCAGTAATTTGTTTCATCAGTGAAGTTTTATCTGTTGAGGATATAAATTTGAAAGAGGTATTTTAAAGATTCATGTATTTAGTTCCCCAACTTAAATAATTATGTTGCTGTGTTTTTTATATATGTAGATATTTTTCTATTTGGTCCACCTTGGTAATACTTCATAAGAAAGATAAATTTCAGTTATATTTGTATTTTAATACAATTTCTAATCATGTCTTCTTTCTGTCCATAAGGACATGTAACAATTGTCATACAATATTTTGTGTGGTTTACATTAGTTCAAAGAAAATTGGAAACAAATTGTTAAGTAAATGCTGATAACTTTTCACTGTTGCACTTTTGACAGTTTTGAATCATGGACCATGAAATTAAATGTTAGTTGATTGATACATGTTCATGTTGTATTTAATAAGCTGATTAAAACACAATTATAGCACCTTTGTATCTATAATCTTAATTCTTTGCTTCCCACTAGTTAAATTGCTGAAATATTTAGGCAATTTTTCTTCAGAGAAATCATAGTGTGTAGAGAGAAGATAAGGTATACTAAATGGAAAGTTGGACAGCATGTTGTTAAGCAATTTGTGAAAATGAACATCGAAAAATAATTCCTCATGTGGAATGACTCCAAAATAGAAGGAAGGTCTAGGTTCAGGAGTCATACCTCAACATAATTTTCTTTTGTGCATTTGTAGAATTTTTAAAAAATATACATTTTTATTGATTTCAGAGAGAGGAAGGGGAAGGGAGAGAGAGATAGAAACATCACTGATGAGAGAGAATCATGGATTGGCTGCCTCCTGCATGGCTTCTACTGGGGATCAAGCCTGCAACTCAGGAATCCAACCATAACCTCCTGGTTCATGTATTGATGTTCAACCACTGAGCCACATCGGCCAGGCCATTTGAAGAATTTTAATTGACTTGAATGATTAGGATTTTTCAGCTTTTTTTAAAAATTAAGAAAACAGATTTTTGCATTTAATATTATAAGATAATTTGAAATGAGTTTATAGATCCTTAATCTTTAAAGTTTGTGAAAAAGAACAAAAACATGTGAGGAAATCATAGAGTAATGTTATTTTAAGTTTTTTCTGTTCAAATATTGTTAGGCACAGTCAGATGAAAACAATTCTGGTCAGCCACAGTGGGGCACAGCCTAGGTAAGGTGAGAGTCAGTGAAGACCTAGAACTCTGGCTGCCAAGGGCACTGCCAAGTGAAATGTGGTGATTGGGAGAGGGAGAGATTTGTATGTGAGCACAGTTTGGGGAGTACTTGGTTCTGTTTAGCGATTGTGGGATAATTTGAGCTCTTTGGTTTTGGCTAAATCCACTACTGCTCTCTGCAATTTTATGACAAAAGTAATACTGTTAAACTGGTAAGAACAGATACTACATTTGATCTTAGCCAAAAGGCTGAGAAGTGATAAAAAAAAAGTAATACTATTACCCTCATTTCATAGATGAGAAAACTGAGGCAGAAGAAAGGATAAGTAATTATGTCTAAGGAAGGGCTGGGTTTGAACCATGACTTATAACCTTTATTTAACATTGCCTCTTTTTAGGTAATGCTTCTGAAACAACAGGCAGAGCTTCTAGGAGAAAAGTCTTTTCCAGCCAGATGTCATCTAT